GAACCGAGAGCAGGGCCTCCCCGGAAGATCTTAACGCTCTTCCCGGTTCGTAGGAGGAGATGCGTTCGGAGAGGTAAGTGGGGCCGGAACCGTGTAGGGCTTTATAGGCTAAAGCCAGCACCTTAAATTGTGCCCGGTAGCGAATTGGCAGCCAGTGGAGCTGGTTCAGCAGGGGGGTGGTGTGCTCCCTGAGAGCCGCTCCCGTTAGCAACCTGGCTGCCAGCGCTGGACCATCTGAAGCTTCCGGGCAGTCTTCAAGGGCAACCCCACGTAGAGCGCGTTGCAGTAGTCTATACGGGATGTGACAAGAGCGTGGACTACCGTAGCCAAGTCCGACCTCCCAAGATACGGGCGCAGCTGGCGCACGAGCCGAAGCTGTGCAAATGCTCCTCTGGAAACCGCCGAGACTTGGGGTTCCAAGCTTAGCGAAGAATCCAGAGTCACACCCAAGCTGCGAAGCTGCGTCTTCAGGGGGAGTGCGACCCCATCCAACACAGGCTGTAACCCTATACCCTGTTCGGCCTTTCGACTGACTAGGAGTACCTCTGTCTTGTCTGGATTGAGTTTCAATTTGTTCACCCTCATCCAGTCCGACACAGCAGCCAAGCACCGGTTCAGGACCTGGACAGCCTCCTTAGTAGTAGGTGGAAAGGAGTGACAGAGCTGGACGTCATCTGCGTACAGATAACACCTCACCCCGAAACTCCGGATGATCTCTCCCAACGGCTTCATGTAGATGTTAAACAGCATGGGGGACAGAATTGACAGAATATGCATCTTCTAACAAGCAAATGGGAAATCTAAACAACCTGGAGTAAATAGCCATTTCACCATCAGCATCTCCTGCTGGAACTCCACGCTGGGGAAAGAGAACTCCAGCAGCAGCCCACCGGAAATCCAACCCCCACCAGAAATCCAGCACCCACCACACTGTATTCAAAAAACTCAAACAGTTCTAGCCCCTTGGGCGTGGCACAAGATTGCTGCTTCACCTACTTAGTCAGCCGAACAAGATAATTACAAACAATAAGGTTTTTCTTCACACAGAGACTTGTGTCCTGCAAGGACTTGCCGCAACAGATTCCACCATAAATATAGCAGAGTCCCAGGAGCAAAATTCACAAGCAGCAGAAATGTACATGTGATGAGCTGGGAGAAACTTCTATTCTTTAGAATCCTAGAGTGGGAAAAGACCTGGCACCCCTGCCAGATGGCCACCCAGCCTCTGCTTCAAAGCCTCCAAAGAAGGAGCCTCCACCACACTCCCTCCGGGGCAGAGAGTTCCACTGCTGAACGGCTCTCACAGTCAGGAAGTTCTTCCTCAGGTTCAGATGGAATCTCCTCTCTTGGAGTTTGAAGCCCTTGTTCCATTGCATCCTAGTCTCTCTCCAGGGAAGCAGAAAGGAAGCTTGCTCCCTCCTCCTCACATATTTATACATGGCTCTCATCATATCTCCTCTCAGCCTTCTCTTCTTCAGGCTAAACATGCCCAGCTCCTTAAGCCGCTCCTCATAGGGCTTGTTCTCCAGACCCTTGGTCATTTGAGTCGCCCTCTTCCTCTGGACACATTCCAGCTTAGGGTCAATATCTCACTTCAGTTGTGGTGCCCAGAATTGGACACAATATTCCAGGTAAAGTGGTCTAACCAAAGAAGAATAGAGGTAGCAGGACTTCCCTAGATCCAGACATTGGGCTCCTCTTGATGCCTGAGGCCAAAATCCCATTGGCTTTTTTGCCACCACATCCCATTCCTGCCTCGTGTTCCCCTTCTTCCTCCCCACGAGGACTCCAAGATCTTTTCCACACGTCCTGCTCTCGAGCCAAGCCTCCTCGTCCCCCATTCTGTCTCTTTGCATATCAGATATTTACATTACAATTCACAACAGGAGCAACATTACAGTTGTGAAATAGCAATGCAAATAATGTGATGGTTGGGGGGCACCACCACATGAGGAACTGCATTAAGGAGGCGCAGCTTTCGGAAGGTTGAGAACCATTGCTTTACAACCTTGACAACCGTATCTTCACCTGCAGTTTTCAATGCAGGAGGGAGGGGGGGACTTCCAGAGGGGGCCAAAGGGAGGGGTTGCGTCAGTTGGCAGCCCAGGACCAGTTGCTTGGGGTTAGGGCCACTCAAGGAGAGCAGGCATCGACCTCCAGCCCAGAATTCAAGCCCCCCACCCCCGACTGCCAATCCCCAAGCCCCCTTGACACTTGGAATAAAGTCACCGAGCGGGATGGCGAGACCTATGCCTGCAGGTAGGTTTGGGGCAGGCGGGGGGGAGTGTGCCCTGGGGGAGGAGGCAGGCGTGCTGGGGTGCATGGCTTTGGGGCAGGGCTGGAAGATGACTTTTGCGTGTATATGTGTGCATATTAGGCCTGGGTAACAACGGAAAAATTTGTTTCTAAAATCGATTCGTTTTTTTGGCGTTTTTTGCGTTTCGATATTTAAAAGAATTCCAAAATTTTCCTTAAAAAAAAGTTCGATATTTACGAAAATTACAAAACAATAACGAAACAATAACGAATCGATTCGTTAATGGCGGCCGCGATCGCGCAATACGCTAAAAAAACTTCTGCAGCTTCCCTCTCCCTCTGTTGTTGACTGTTGGTGTGATATTATAATTTTTTTTCACTAATTAAACAAAAAACAACTATAAAACTTGCCCCAGACATGCGGAAATAATAACGAAACGACCTCAAACCAATAACGAAACGAATACATAACGAAATACGAAGCATTTACGAAACGAATTGAAAAATTCGTTTCGTTTTTAAGTTGCTCCAGAATGGTTCGTTATCGCTTCGTTTAAAAAAAATAACGAATTTTTAACGAATTACGAATTAACGAAACGAAACCGCCCAGCCCTAGTGCATATATATATGTGTGTGTTTGTGTATCTATGTGTATATATGTGGTTTTGCGTATGAGTTGTAATGTATTTTTTTATTGGTTGGCTTTTTAAGTCTCTTCCGCTGTGTGTTGTCAGTGTTTTTATGAGTGATGGTCCCTCATTGGCCTGATACGCGTCTTGTGTCCAAATTTGGTGTCCATTTGTCCAGTGGTTTTTGAGTAATGCTAATCCCACAAACGAACATTACATTTTTATTTAGATAGAAAATATTGGTTCTATGGATACAGGAACCATATTATTCAGAGCAAATCAAGCTTGAACTTTCCCTAGGTGACCAAAGTGAAACTGTCGCAGTGGGAGCGAGCAATGAAAAGTGACCCAGTGTTTTCTGGGCGCCAGTGTGTGGGCCACACTGGACTTCTGGAGGGCAAGTGAATCATAGAATCCTAGAATCCTAGAGTTGGAAGAGACCTCATGGGCCATCCAATCCAATCCCTTTTTGCCAAGAAGCAGGAATATTGCATTCCAAGCACCCCTGACAGATGGCCATCCAACCTCTGTTTCAAAGCCTCCAAAGAAGGAGTCTCCACCACACTCCGGAGCAGAGAGTTCCACTGCTGAACAGCTCTTACAGTCAGGAAGTTCTTCCTCATGTTCAGGTGGAATCTCCTTTCCTGTAGTTTGAAGCCATTGTTCCCTTGCGTCCTAGTCTCCAAGGAAGCAGAAAGGAAGCTTGCTCCCTCCTCCTCCTCCCTGTGGCTTCCTCTCACATATTTATACATGGCCCTCATCATATCTCCTCTCAGCCTTCTCTTCTTCAGGCTAAACATGCCCAGCTCCTTAAGCCGCTCCTCATAGGGCTTGTTCTCCAGACCCTTGATCATTTGAGTCGCCCTCCTCTGGACACATTCCAGCTTAGTCCATATCTCTCTTGAATTGTGGTGCCCAGAATTGGACACAATATTCCAGACGTGGTCTCACCAAAGCGGAATAGAGCATGGGGAGCAGGACTTCCCTGGATCTAGACACTAGGCTCCTCTTGATGCAGGCCAAAATCCCATTGGCTTTTTTTGCCGCCACATCACATTCCTGGCTCATGTTCCCCTTCCTCCCCACGAGGACTCCAAGATCTTTTTCCACACGTCCTGCTCTCAAGCCAGGCCTCATCGTCCCCCATTCTGTCTCTTTGCATTTCGTTTTTCCTGTCAAAGTGGAGTCTCTTGCATTTGTCCCATATTTATCCATGGCTATCATGTCTCCTCTCAGCCTTCTCTTCTTCAGGCTAAACATGCCCAGCTCCTGAAGGGACAGAGCACAAGGATCTTGCAGGGTGAAGGGCCACATCCTGGATCCTCCATGGCAGAGGGTCAGAGGGGAAGGGGCCAAGTGGGCACAGCACGTTTCCCTACAGGACAAGGACTTGGGAAAAGGAAGGCGGTGAGCAGGCACCCAACGGGAAGCGAGCAATTGAAAGTAGCCCAAGGCAGGGGCAGGACTCTGTGTGTGGGCCCCGCCGGACTTCTCATGGAGGGCAGGTGGAGGGACGGAGCACAAAGGACCCATAAGCAGCTTCCTACCACCTGTGCCAAGAGGAAGCCCTTCTCGGCCTGACTCAATGCTACTCACTGGCCAGGCACCTCTCTCTTTCCCAATTGTTGTTGTTATGTTCGTTCACTCTCAGCTTTTTCTCTTCTTCACAAACAGCAGCAGCAGACCCTTCTCTGCCTCAGAGCCACTCGCTGACCAGGCCTCTCTCGCGGTTGGACCATCACGGCTGAAGAGGCCGTCCTGCCTGCATCCTGCCCTAGGAACACAAAGGGAGTGACCTCTGCGCAGAGGTCAGTCTGAGCAGCAGCCGGCCCTTCCTGCCTCGGGGTCGCTCAAAGCCACCTGATGCCCAGGTGCCTCTCCCTCCCAGGTGGACCACCGCCTGCCTACCTGCCCGCCCTCCATTGGGCTGTGGCCACACCGCTGGCACCTGTCCAGGGCCCTGGGTCACCTGCCTGTCCCTCTCTGCCCGGGATTGGCCGGCACTATGCCTCGGCTCCTTCCCTCTGGCTCCGGCTGAAGTGCTGAAATCCAACCCGTGCGGCCAGTGGCACAGCGGCAGAGGCGCCTCCTGCGCACAGCAGCCAACCGAGGGCCATGGAGAAGACACAGGAGCCTCCCCAGGAGGGTCCCCCGGACCCCGAGCCACCCTCAACCTTCTCTGCGAGCCTGGCAGCCTTTGCGGGTGGCTGCACTCTGCACGGGCTCAGCCACGTCTTCCTGCCGGGGCCACTCACCCCGCGACGGCTGGCCTGGGCGGGGGCCGTCCTGGCAGCAGTGGGGGCCTTCTTGTTCCAGGCGGTGGAGCGGGTGCGCTACTTCCAGGACTACCCCCGGGTGACCACCCTGGACGAGGCCGAAGGGCGAGCCCTGCTCTTCCCAGCCATCAGCCTCTGCAACTTCAACCGCGCCCGGCGCTCCCGCCTGACCCCCGACGACCTGCGCTGGGTGGGCCCCCCACTGCTGGGTGTGGAGCCCCCCGACTTCCCCCGCTACCTGCAGGCACTGGGGTGGGAAGGGCCCCCCTCCAATGGGCCCTTCTTCCCCAGCACGCGCTTCGACATGGAGGCCTTCGTGGGCCGGACTGGACACCGGCTGGAGGAGATGCTGCTGGGATGCCGCTTCGGGGGCCGGGAGTGCGGTCCGGCCAACTTCACCTCTGTGAGTGCCCCCCCCCAACACACACACAGACAGACACCCCTAGCCTCCCTTCTGCTTGGAAAGACCCTCCCCAGGCATGTTCAGCCACAGCCGTCCAGCTCTGCAAGCCATGGCTAGTGGCACATTGGTCAGCAGTGCGGCCCATAGTGCCAGACCTGCTGCTCCTTGCACCCTGAGGGAGCCCCTCTTTCCTGCCTTGTCTTTTAGGGGTGTTCTGGGCCCACCCTCCAGACCCATCACCCTGCGTATCCTTGGGGCCTTCTCTCTTCCCTTCCTCTGGTCCGAACTTCCATGGGGACAGCACTTTGCAGCTTCCTGAGGTTTTCCAGAGGCCTCAAAGGGTCACCAAATCCACCAAGAATGAGCCAAACACGAACTGAAGTGCCACTGTGCATGTGCAGAGTGCATGCTTCCTGTCATGGCTGTTTTGGGGGAGAGACTGGGGGGGGGGGTCCCTGGGGTGGATGCTATTTTGCAATGTTGACGCTTCCATTCTGTCGTTGAAGGATGGAAGCCAAATGTACGGAGTGCTTTGTGCTGGGGAGGCATTGGGCTCCGGGGGGGGGGGTCTGAATCTTGCAGCCCCCTCCTCTCCCTCTCCCTCCCCCTCCCTTCCAGTGTGTGGATCCAGATGCAGCGCTCCCCCACTCTTCCCCGCTCGCTCTCCCCCTCCTTTGTGTCCCCAAGGCTGCTCCGGTTTCACCTCTTTGCAGAGCTGCATCCCTCTCTCCTTCCATATCTGTTTCTCTGAGCACAACAAGACCCAAAATCTCTGGGATGTGGGGGCAGGGGTGCTCAGTCGGCAGAATCCGATCCTGCAGTGCATGGCACGAAGAGCAGATCTGTTCTGCGTGCCCCAAAGGCAGGTGGGACTCTTCCCCATTGCAGGGGCCTTGCAGAAGTCTGCTGAAGGAGAGGCTGAAGCCATCCAAGCTGAGAGGCTGAAGGAAGGGAGTGGCCATCCAGTCCGGCTTCGAGTGGACTGCTTGCCCCCAAAATGATGGATTCTTGGGTTCCAAGGTCTGCAGAGACGGAGCAAGGGAAGTGGTGAGGCCAGCCAAGGAGCCCAGCCCCACAGACTCTAGGCTTTGGTTGGAAGGAGGAGCGGGGCAGAATGTGGCCACCCTTGGTGCCGCTGAACATGTGCCAAGTCCTGGACCACAGCTGGGTCAAAGGGGAGAGGAAATCCCAGAGGGCCCTTCGTGTGGCCCCTGCCCATGCTTGGTGTGGAAAGAACTGGGAGATGTGGTCAGGTCCACAAAGCATTTGTGGTCATCAGGAGGCATTCACTTTGCCTCCGTTTGCCGTATTTTTTCATATGACTTCATTAAGGAAGTGCTCTTCAAACACTTAGAAACGAATGCGGTCATCGCTAAGAGTCATAACGGATTGATCAAAAACAAGTCATGCCAGACTCATCTGATCTCTTTTTTCGATAGAGTTACAAGCTGGGTCGGTGCGGGGAATGCATGGATGGAGCGTACCTGGATTTCAGGAAGGCCTTCCTTCCTGCAACAAGGTCCCCCATGACTTTCTGGAAAGGAATCTAGTCCAATGTGGAAAAACTATGGTTAGGTGGATCAGTAATTGGTTAAATGGACGCACCCAGAGGGTGATTCTCCCCAAGGCTTCCTCTTCTTCACCCTGGAAAGAAGTGAGGAACCCTGGCATCAGCAGGGTTGTGTGAATGCCCCTCCATCTGACCACCTTATGCCTCAACTCAGGATTCCTCTCCATCAATGGGAGCAGCGAGCGAGCAGTCCCTTGCCTCTTTAAGTACAACAAAGCCACAAAGAGGTGATCAAACAAAGCTGGAGTGCCTCTTACTCTAGAGCAGGGGTAGGGAACCTTTGGCCCTCCAGCTGTGGTGGACTTCAACTCCCACAATTCCTTGAGGCTCGGCATTCGCCCCAAAGGCTTACCTTGGCCCAATGCCGAGCCTCAAGGAATTGTGGGAGTTGAAGTCCACCACAGCTGGAGGGCCAAAGGTTCCCTACCCCTGCTCTAGAGCAAAAGGCATTTGGCTGCAATCACAGGCACTTTCTGGGCCTACATGCCACGCACGCACTTTCTTTCCAAGGGGAGTGCATGTGTGGCGTACAGGCCCAGAAAGTGCACACACCTCCCAGTGCCTACATCTGAGCACCTTCTATTCTAGAGTAGACACAGTGGCTACAGGCAAAGGTGCTTTCTGGGTCTGCATGCCACACACGCACTCTGTTTCCAAGGGGAGTGCGTGTGTGGCGTGCAGGCCCAGAAAGTGTGTGCACCTGCCAGTGCCTATATCCAAGCACCTCTTACTCTAGAGTAGACACTGTGGCTACAGGCACTTTTGGGCCTGCATGCCACGCACGTACTCTCTTCCCAAGGGGAGTGCATGTGTGGCCTGCAGGCCCAGAAAGTGCCCATGCCTGCCAGTGCCTACATTCGAACACCTCCTACTCTAGACACAGCGGCTACGGGCACAGGCACTTTCTGGACCTACATGCCACACATGCACACTCTTTCCAAGGGGAGTGTGTGTGGCGTGCAGGTCCAGAAAGTGCTTGTGCCTACCAGTGCCTACATCCGAGCACCTCCTACTCTAGAGTAGACACAGCGGCTACAGGCACAGGCGCTTTCTGAGTCTGCATGCCATGCACACACTCCCTTTCCAAGGGGAGTGCATGTGTGGTGTGCAGGCCCAGAAACTGCCCACCCCTGCCAATGCCTACATCCGAGCACTTCCTACTCTAGAGCAGACACAGCGGCTACAGGCACAGCCACTTTTTGGGCCTGCATGCCACGCACGCACTCTCTTTCCAAGGGGAGTGCATGTGTGGTGTGCAGGCCCAGAAACTGCCCACCCCTGCCAATGCCTACATCCGAGCACTTCCTACTCTAGAGCAGACACAGCGGCTACAGGCACAGCCACTTTTTGGGCCTGCATGCCACGCACGCACTCTCTTTCCAAGGGGAGTGCATGTGTGGTGTGCAGGCCCAGAAACTGCCCACCCCTGCCAATGCATACATCCGAGCACTTCCTACTCTAGAGTAGACACAGCGGCTACAGGCACAGGCGCTTTCTGAGTCTGCATGCCATGCACACACTCCCTTTCCAAGGGGAGTGCATGTGTGGTGTGCAGGCCCAGAAACTGCCCACCCCTGCCAATGCCTACATCCGAGCACTTCCTACTCTAGAGCAGACACAGCGGCTACAGGCACAGCCACTTTTTGGGCCTGCATGCCACGCACGCACTCTCTTTCCAAGGGGAGTGCATGTGTGGTGTGCAGGCCCAGAAACTGCCCACCCCTGCCAATGCCTACATCCGAGCACTTCCTACTCTAGAGCAGACACAGCGGCTACAGGCACAGCCACTTTTTGGGCCTGCATGCCACGCACGCACTCTCTTTCCAAGGGGAGTGCGTGTGTGGCATGCAGGCCCAAAAAGTGCCCTCACCTGCCAGTGCCTACATCCGAGCGCCTCCTACTCTAGAGTAGAAACAGCAGCAGGTAAGAAGAAGTCTTCTTAGAGTGCACACTGGGAAGAAGAACCTGGGTAAGAAGCCCACCCACCCATCCACGGGCCGATAAAAAATGGATCTTTTGACACTGATTTCAGGAGGCTCCCTAAAAATGGACCCCCCCCCCCCACTGAAAGTGGAACACGAAATGGGTCAAGGTTTATCCTGAATGCACAACCCCTAGCACTTGACACTATTTGGCAGCCAAGCTTACAATATATTTCAAAAGAAAAGAGAGGTACATTTGCCCGAACTTCCAAACCAGGAATTCTTATTGGACACAGTTGCAGTACAAAGGCTTATTGAATTCCCGATTCAGATACTAGAAGGAAAGGTGACCTGTTTTGATGAGAATGCTTAAAGAGCCAAAGGAGAGATTTTGATGAGAGATCGCAAGTTTCATTTCGCAATGAAGAGTCATGTAGATCTGAATGCTCTGTGATGCAACTCATTTAATCAGCCTTCAAGGGAAGATTTGCAAACATTGCCTCCCAGTGGCCAATCAGCACTGGCCGGAAAAAAGCACGAATGCCGTTGCCCCACTTGGCTTTGGCTATGTTGCTAATGCAACAAACATACACTGACCGTTGTCTTGGAATGAAATACAAAAAGTACAGAATGGGGGACGATGAGGCCTGGCTCGGGAGCAGGACGTGTGAAAAAAATATTGGAGTCCTCGTGGACAACCAGTTAAACATGAGCCAGGAATGTGATGCTGCAGCTAAAAAAGCCAATGGGATTTTGGCCTGCATCAATTGGACTCTAGTGCCTAGATCCAGGCAAGTCCTGCTCCCCAGGCTCTATTCTGCCTTGGTCAGGCCACATTACCTGGAATACCACTGTGTCCAATTCTGGGCACCACAATTCAAGAGAGACATTGACTCTAAGCTGGAATGTGTCCAGAGGAGGGCGACTAAAATGATCAAGCGTCTGGAGAACAAGCCCTAGGAGGAGCGGCTTAAGGAGCTGGGCATGTTTAGCCTGAAGAAGAGAAGGCTGAGAGGAGACATGATGAGGGCCATGTATAAATATGTGAGAGGAAGCCACAGGGAGGAGGAGGGAGCAAGCTTGTTTTCTGCTTCCCTGGAGACTAGGACGCAATGGAACCATGGCTTCAAACTACAAGGGAGGAGATTCCATCTGAACATGAGGAAGAACTTCCTGACTGTGAGAGCCGTTCAGCAGTGGAACTCTCTGCCCCGGAGTGTGGTGGAGGCTCCTTCTTTGGAAGCTTTTAAACAGGCTAGATGGCCATCTGTCAGGGGTGCTTTGAATGCAATTTGCATTCTTGGCAGATTGGGGTTGGACTGCGTGGCCCACCAGGTCTCTTCCAACTCTTCTAGGATTCTGTGAAAAACTGCAGTTCTATATAAGCAGGTATGCCTGTGGCATAGTAGCTGCTAGTCTGAGGTAAACCTCAGTGGGAGAAAGGTCTCAATCTCTGAGAAGGCCTCACGTGGGAGGTAAGCATTATAAGATTGGACAGGGTGGCCCACCAGGTCTCTTCCAATTCTAGGATTCTATAAAAAGCTGTAGTTCTATATAAGCAGGTGTGCCTGTGGCTTAGTAGCTGCCAGTCTGAGGTAGACCTCAGTGGGAGAAAGGTCTCAGTCTGAGAGAAGGCTCCACAGTATGAGGTGGGCATTATGGGGTTGGACTGGATGGCCCACCAGGTCTCTTCCAACTCTTCTAGGATTCTATACAAAGCTGCAGTTTTATATAAGCAGGTGTGCCTGTAGCTTAGTAGCTGTCGGTCTGAGGTTAATCTCAGTGGGAGAAAGGCCTCTGTCTGTGAGAAGGCCTCACAGTGTGAGGTAGGCATTATGGGGTTGGACTGGATGACCCACCAGGTCTCTTCCAACTGTAGGATTCTTTGAAAAGCTGCAGTTTTATATAAGCAGGCGTGCCTGTATCTTAGTTGTCTGAGGTAAACCTCAGTGGGAGAAACTTCTCAGTCTGTGGCATTATGGGGTTGATCTGGATGGCTCACCAGGTCTCTTCCAACTCTTGGATGACGAAAATGACAGGAATGACAAGAATGGCTTAAGGGGCTGAGGGGAGGAAAGGGCCTGAGGCTGTGAGTAATGGTGGGAGTTGAAGTCCAAAACACCTGGAGGACCAAAGTTGTGTCAGTACTGTTGTTCAGCTTTGATGACAACATTGCTTATAGTTTAAACTCTGTGTGTTCAGTGTGGAAGTGTAATGCTGCGCAAGGATTAAATGCACGAAACTTTGATTTATGCCTAGAGCGTAACTTTGGACAGTTCCTGTCCCGTTACACATTCCAAAGTTGAGATAACAGCTCAGTGTCTTCCAGCCATGTTTGGCGAAGAGGGAAGACGTGTCTTTGGCTATTCTTGTACATAGTCTTGTAGAAAGTAACAATAAATCTTTAAGTGCCGCTCCAAGGCTTGGGAGCTGAATTATGGCTGAGTGCTTCGTTTGTTTTGTGCCTCTTAGCAGACACTCTGAGGCCAATAATCGACAATTTGGCCCATGCCTGACTTAGATCTTAGAGCAAGCTTCCTTGTTCATAGGCTGCACACAGAATTCCCACACCCGATCCCATTTTGCCAGACTATTCCTCTTCCGTTGCTTCCTCCCGGGTTTTCCCGTCTCCCTCCCACGTGAACTGCTTTTTGTGTTGTAAATATCCCAAGCAGCCTGTAAGCCTTTTGGGCCTCACGTGACACGTTTGCATGCACACGCCTGCAACCACAACAGAGCCATGGTGAGATTGACGCAGGTAGTCATGAGGCCGTCTGGGGAGGAGAGGGTGGCCATGGAAAAACTTTTTATTTGGAGCATTCCTTCCTGCCCCCCCCCCCCCCCAAGAACCTGCTTCTTCCTGACTGTTGCACTCCAGGCCAGGAAAGTCCACACAACTGAGTAAAACACCACACAACTGAGTAAAAATGCAAGCAGTTTATTGAAGATAATGAAAAAGCAAGAGTAAAAAAACACTCCATAAAAATAAGTAAATCCAATTAGGTAGAAAGATAAGCAGAAACAAATAGTCCAGGAAATTAGTCCACCAGAGTCCATGAAAAACAAATACAGAAACTTCCAAGGTAAAACTCCAAAGCTTGAATCATGGAATCAAACAAGGCACTTAACACATGGATCTATCTAAGGCAAGGCTTCCAAGGGCCAGGAGAGACGTCTTGACTCAAGTCCAACATTGCTTCGTCTGACTATAGATTCTGTACTTGACACTTTTATCCTTTAATATACTCTATATCCCAAGCGGCCGGGAACGGATTTCGTTTCAGCCTTGACTCTGTTATCAATCTCTCTCTTAGGCTGGCAGAATGCCTGAGAAATTGGTTTGTTTGTCTGTGCTGACTAAAAACATGCCTTCTATCTACTGGCTCATTAGTTTCTGCACCTGGCCCAGGTGCTGAGCTATTCTCAAAGTCCTGGGAATTCTCTGGTAGCAATTCAGGCCCTCTTCCAGGGACCATACCATCATCCCCAAACCCTTCAGGACCATTCTCATCTGAAAAGACACTTTGAACAGGAATCCCATTCTCATTCTCTGCATCAATAGCAACCTCATCATTAGGAACATCATTAGATACATGAACCTCAGAAACATCATTGTCATTCCCAACATCCAGACACAACCACAGGCCGAACTCCAACACTGACCCCATATGTGCCCCCTCTGTGCCTGCAGATCTTCACCCGCCTGGGCAAGTGCTACACCTTCAACTCGGGGGCTCCCGGCTACGAGCGCCTCTCTGTGATCCGGGGGGGCACCGGCAACGGCTTGGAGCTGATGCTGAACATCCAGCAGGATGAGTACTTGCCCGTCTGGGGGGATACCGGTGAGTGCCTGCTGTCCCACCCACCTCTGTCCATTTCTGGGACTGGGGAGGGAGGGGCTGCCTGACCACGTTATACATGGGGGAAAGCTTTTTATGGGATGGGGGGGGCTTGGAATAGTGGGTTTGTTTCTGTACACACCTATAACCACAGAACGAAAGTGGCATCTGTTGCAATCTAGCACTGGAACACCTTTTCACCCAGCACCACACCAGAGTCCAGTAATGCTGACTAGAAATGTTTATTAAGGGAGGAAGGTTAAAAAATGGGCAATTCCAAAAGGGTCAGTAGAATAGAAAGAACAGAGCAGCAGCAATCCAAAAACAGGAAATACAAAATAGCAGTACTCCAAAAATGGCGGAGCACATTAAGTCAAGAGAACCAGAATTCCAAAGCAGAGATCCAAACATAAGTTCATAAACCAGAAAACAGGAGCTTCTTCCAAAGCAAATCCTTTGGAACAAAAAAATATGAACTATATCAGGAAACTTGAATCATGAACTTGAGAGCACCGGCAGGAAACCCATTCTTTAGCAACTTTGTCTCCTCTGAGAGGCTTGAAGCCAAACCACTTAATTTAAGCCCATCAAGGCACCCATGACATCATGCCGAACACACCTGGACTGCAAGGTCATGCCACAGTTTCTGTGAGAATGTTTTACTTGCCTGTCTCTTACTCCCTCTGTCCTCAAACCTAATCTAATTTCTCGGGAAAACTCACCATCAGCCCAAGGATTTTCACTTTCCCCCATTGCCTGGGAACCAGTATCGAAATTTAAAGCATCCTCTACCTGAGCCTCGTCTGCTTGCAATTATCTCCAATCTGACACAGACTCCTCATTTGAAACACATCATCCCCCTCATCCTCTGACAAATCCTCGGACGCTTGCTGTGCTACAACAGCATCTTCCCTCCATGCCTAAGAAGAGGGACATATGGCACCTCTCTCCTGATTTCTGTGACTCATACACTGGATTCATTGGAAGGTGCAGTTTCGCTGTGCACTGGATTCGCGATACTCTAAAGCAGTGAGATTCTTAGTTCTTGCTTTCCCCCTCCCTGCCCACCTCTCTCTTCCTCTTGTCCTCAGAGGAGACCTCCTACGAAGCCGGCATCAAGGTGCAGATCCACAGCCAGGAGGAGCCACCATCCATTGACCAGCTGGGCTTCGGCGTGGCCCCCGGGTTCCAGACCTTCGTTTCCTGCCAAGAGCAAAGGGCATCCACAGACCCCAGCAAATGGATGTAGGGACTGATCGAAAAGGGGGGTGTGCCCCCCTACTCCCTCCCCTGTAATGGTGGGCTCTCCCTGCCATCTCATCTTTCTGGTCTGGGGCAAGGGAGTCTTGGCCCTCTCTCAGACAGATCGGTAGGGATGCAGTGCCAGGGATGCTGGCGCTTGGGCCAAGGGTGCACAGGGCCTCTCTGTCTTTGCAGGGGGGCCCTGCCAGAGGGGTACATGGGGTCACAAGGTCATCAGCAGTGTTGGGGGGGGGTATTGCCAGATTTTTCCTTAACTGCCCCTGGCACAGCTCTTCTACCTCCCTCCTCCGTGGGGTGTCTGCAAGTCCAGCCCCGTCGAGTCCGCCTTCTTCGCCAACTACAGCATGGCCGGCTGCCGCCTGGAGTGTGAGACACGCTACGTGACTGAGAAGTGCAACTGCCGCATGGTGCACATGCCAGGTCCGGCGGGGCATCCTACTGCATGGCTTGTCCTGTCTGGTGTGTGGCTGGGAGCCAGGGGTCAGTGGGGAGAGGTGTGGGCACCCGGTCCTTCTGCAGGAGAACCACAGCTGGCATTCCTGCCCACAGAAGCAAGTGCAGTCCGTCACCCCAGTCTGCACAGATCTCCCCCCAGTATGGCTTCCTCTTCCTCTTATGGGGGCATCACACAGCTACTGGGGGAGCCCCTTCTTGTCCCACGACCTCACCCACCCCCTTTCTTTCTTTCTCTGCCCAGGGAATGCCATCGTCTGCTCTCCGGAGCAGTACAAGGTGTGCGCTGACCCAGCCCTGGGTAAGCACCAGGGCGCCCCCAGACCCTATTTGCCAGGTGCCCCCAAGTTGGATGATGGGTGGCCCTGACCCCTCCCACAGACACACACCAGCCCACCCCCAATCATTCCCCCGTTTTGCCCAGACTTCCTGGTGGAGAAGGACAATGAGTACTGCGCCTGCGAGACCCCCTGTGAGATGGTGCGCTACGGCAAAGAGCTCTCAGTGGTCCGGATCCCCAGCAAGGCCTCCGCAAAGTACTTGGCCAAGAAGTACAACCGTAGCGAGCAGTACATTGCGTGAGTGAACCTCCTCCCCCCCCCCCATGCTGATAGTCCCATAGGGTTCGTAGTCAAAGAGCACAAGGGGAGCATTCCCAGAGACCCCCAGAAAGTCCCCCTCGCAGGAGCTCTGTTGACCCCTCCCCGTCTCTATCTGCTCCCTTCCTGTCCAGGGAGAACCTGCTGGTGCTGGACATCTTCTTTGAGGCTCTGAACTATGAAACCATTGAGCAGAAGAAGGCCTACGACGTGGCTGGGCTGCTGGGTGAGCGGCACCGGATGGGTCTGAAGGTGGTGGTGGGGGGAGGGGGGGGGTCCTTGCAGCCAAAAGCAGAAGTCCACTCCAGGTGGGTGGGTAGGTAGATAGATGGAGCAGGCCTGGCTTTTTCTGGGCTCCCAGGTGACCCTCTGGGTGGGTCATCAGGAGCTCCAGGATGGGGGAAAATGGGGGTTGTTTTGGAAAGCACTTTGGGGGTCCGGCACAGAGGGTCCTATGCCACTCCATGTTGTTCCCCCAGGAGACATTGGGGGCCAGATGGGCCTCTTCATCGGAGCCAGTTTCCTCACCATCCTGGAGATCCTGGACTATTTGTATGACGTGAGTTTGGGGGAAATGGGGTCTGGGGGGTCAAAAGGGCTGTCCAAAGTGGGGGGGGGCAGGCTGGGGAGCACAGTGACCTCTACAGCCAGGGTCAGCAGTCTCCCCTCCACAGCCCCCCCCCACTCTGTTGCTAGGGGCTCCCAGTGGCACAGTGGGTTAAACCCTTGTGCCGGTAGGACTGAAGACCGACAGGTTGCAGGTTTGAGTCCAGGGAGAGCGTGGATGAGCTCCCTCTGTCAGCTCTAGCTCCTCATGCGGGCACATGAGAGAAGGATGGTAAAACATCAAAAACATCCAGGCAATGTCCCCTGGGCAGCGTCCTTGCAGACAGCCTATTCTCTCACACCAGAAGTAACTTGCGGTTCCTCAAGTCTCTCCTGACACAAAAAAATAAACAAAACTCTGTAGCTGCTCAGGGGCACTGCTTCCTGGCCCTGAGGCTCATGCGGACTTTGCTGTGGTCTGCTTCTGCAGGTTCTGCGAGACAAGCTCTGGGGCTTCTACCAGGCGAGGAAGCAGGCCCAGAAGACTGACGGCGACACCATGGTAACCAGGAACCCCCCTTTTAAGACACCCCACCCCCAAGTGAGCAAGGAATGGGCAGCGGACCCCATTTCCTGCTGCCCGGAAGTACCATTGAAAACCTCCCAATTCCCGCCATAAACCCACCCATTGAAGACCCCCCCAACTCCCCCCATAAACCCGCCCATTGAAGATCCCAACTCCCCTCACCCACCCACCCATTGAAGATCCTCCAACTCCCCCCACCCACCCACCCATTGAAGATCCTCCAACTCCCCCCACCCACCCACCCATTGAAGACCCCACCCCCCCACCCCCACCCACCCATTGAAGACCCCCCCAACTCCCCCCATAAACCCGCCCATTGAAGATCCCAACTCCCCTCACCCACCCACCCATTGAAGATCCTCCAACTCCCCCCACCCACCCACCCATTGAAGATCCTCCAACTCCCCCCACCCACCCACCCATTGAAGACCCCACCAACTTCCCCCATAAACCCACCCATTGAAGATCCCAACATGAACTCCCCCAACCCCCCACCCACCCATTGAAGACCCCCCAACTCCCCCCACCCACCCATTGAAGACCCCAACTTCCCCCACCCACCCATTGAAGACCCCCAACTCCCCCCCACCCACCCATTGAAGACCCCAACCTCCCCCCCCCACCACCCATCCCCCACCCCCCACCCATTGAAGACCCCCCAACTCCCCCATAAACCCACCCATTGAAGATCCCAACTCCCCCCACCCACCCATTGAAGACCCCCCAACTCCCCCCACCCACCCACCCATTGAAGACCCCAACTTCCCCCACCCACCCATTGAAAACCCTCCAACTTCCCCCCACCCCACCCACCCCCCCAACTCCCCCACCACCCCCACCCATTGAAGCCCCCCCACTCCCCCTACCCTCCCACCCATTGAAGACTCCCCCAACTCCCCCCACCCACCCACTAGCCTCAACAGGGTTGGCTGGAGATATGTGAGCACTAGGGAAGAGCACTCTGCACATGCTCAGAGATACTCGCCCTTCATTGGCTTCATCCTCACCTCCAGACCTTGGGAGAAAGAGGGGTCAAGAAGCCTTCCTCCTCCTCATTGCTCTTCTCTCTGCCCCTTCCCGTCTCCCTCTCCCTCCATCGGAACCATCCCACCTGCGCCAGGAATACATGGATCTGCCCCGCGGATCCCCCAGGGAGAGCAGAAGCCCCGCAGCCCCACCACCACCCAGGTAGAAGCTCCTTTCCAGGTGTTTTGGTGCATGAGGAGGTCCTCTTCCACTGAGCTTTATAAGACTTGGCTGAGCTGGCTCCTCAGGCTTCGCTGATGGGTGACCATTGGCTTTTGAAAGGGTCAAGGGCTAGCAAGGTCATTGCGCTGGGTTGCTCCTTCCTCACATTGCAAGACACCCCCCTTGTCCTCCCTAGGTCCTAATCACACACCAAGTCCTCACTCTCCTTTTTGTGGCCCTCTTTGCACCTTCTCCACCACAGGATGCCTGCTATGCACTGCCACGCAGCCCCCGAGACCCCCTCGGAGACCCCCCACCGCTCCCGTTACCTCGTGACGCGACTCTAGACCACATGGAGGAGTTCACCTAGTGAGGAGCATCGCTGCAGAGCCTTCTCCCTCCCTTCCTAGCCTCAAAGAAGAGGACAAAGCCCCCCACCCAAATTTGGAAGAAGACCCTGCTTGACCCAAAAGGAGGGCTGGATGCCTCCCACGTTGCTCCTGCCACACAAATGTGAGGGGCACCTCTTGCATCTAGGCCACAGAGGAGCACTGCTGCAGACCCCTCCCTCCCCAGCCTGAAAGAAGAGGAAGCCCCCCCCCAAATCTGGAAGAAGACCCTGCTTGACCCAAGAAGGAGGTCTGGACGCCTCCCATGTTGCTCCTGTCCCACTTATGGGAAGGATATCTCTAGGCCACATACAGCATTGCTGCAAACCCCCCCCCACCTCAAAGAGGACCCCCACCCAAATTCAGAAGAAGACCCTGCTTGAACCAAAAAAAGGGCTGGATGCCTCCCACGTTGGTCCTGCCACACAGATGAGAGAGGCGCCTCTTGCCTCTAGGCCACATAGAGAAACATTGCTGCAGACCCCCTCTCCCCAGTCCCAAAGAGGAGGAAGCCCCCCACCCAAATTCAGAAGAAGACTCTGCTTGACCCACAAAGAAGGGCTGGACGCCTCCCATGTTGATCCTGCCACACAGATGAGAGAGACACCTCTAGGTTACATAGAGCATTGCTGCAAACCCCCCCCCCATCCAGCCTCAAAGAAGAGCCCCCCACCCAAATTCGGAAGAAGACCCTGCTTTACCCACAAAGAAGGGTTGGACGCCTCCCATGTTGCTCCTGCGTCACAGATGGGAGGGGAGCCTCTAGGCTACATAGAGCATTGCTGCAGACCTCCTCTCCCCAGCCCCAAAGAGGAAGACCCCCGCCCAAATTTGGAAGAAGACCCTGCTTGACCCAAGGAGGGCTGGATGCCTACTACGTTGCTCCTGCCACACAGATGGGAGGGGTGCCTCTTGCCTCTAGGCCACATAGAGAAACATTGCTGCAGACCCCCTCTCCCCAGTCCCAAAGAGGAGGAAGCCCCCCACCCAAATTCAGAAGAAGACCCTGCTTGACCCAAGAAGAAGGGATGGACGCCTCCCACATTGCTCCTGCCACCCACGTTGCTCTTGCCTCTAGGCTACATAGAGAACTATGGTTGCAGACCCCCCCCAGCCTCAGAGAAGAGGAAGCCCCCCACCCAAATTGGGAAAAAGACCCTGCTTGACCCAATAAAAGCTAGATGCCTCCCATGTTGCTCCTGCCACACAGATGGGAAAGGTGCCTCTAGGCCACATAGAGCATTGCTGCAGACCCCCTCTCTCCATCCTCAGAGGAAGCCCCCCACCCAAATTCAGAAGAAGACCCTGCTTGACCGAAGAAGGGCTCGACGCAAGATGCACAGGTGGGAGATGCGCTGGGAGCTCCTCAAGCTCCTGGAAGCACTCAAGGAAGGTGGCATCACATTAAGATTAGCCCTGGTTGGATGCTTCTGGGCCTCAGGACAATTATTTGACCCCCCACCCGTCCCTGCAGACAGCCCCCCAAGACCACTCGGAGGGAGGCTTCAGGTGACTTTTGTGACCCCAGGGCCAGCAGTGGTTGGACGCTTCTGAACCTCAGGACAATTATTGACCCCCTGTCTCTTGCTCTTCCTCACCCATTCCTGCAAGACCACTCCCAGGGAAGCCTCAGGCGTGGCCCCACTGGTGTGTGGGTCAGGGCCAGCCCACCTGCATGCACACCTGCTGGGCAATTGGTCTCGCTGTCCATTCTCCCACTCTTGATCTGTGCATGGCGCATTGCTGCCTCCTGTAACGCCTCCTCTGCTACCCCCCATGTTCCATTAAAGCACCTTCTGTGAAGCCATGTTGCCCTCCCACCAAAATGGGGAGCGGTGGGGGGCGCCGGGGAGGGTCATGTGTGCAGAGGGGGTTGCGATTGAGCCCCTTGGAAGGGGTGGGGCCTGTTGGTTGGTTGAATCCCCTCCCTCCCCCCCCCACTTGAAGACCACCACCATCACAACAAGGAAGTCATGTGTACAGAGAGTCAGGATTGGACCCCTTGGAAGGGGTGGGGCTTGTGGGTTGAATCCCCTCCCTTACCCCCCCCCAAGACCACCACCCACCATCACAACAAGGAAGGACCCACCAGAGAGCGGAGGAAGAGGAGGAGGGGGGGAGAAGTGCTTTATGGGAGTCACAAATATTCACATCAGAGGCAGGACAACATCATCACCCCAAACCCTCCCGCTTCCTGGAGGAGAGAAAAGGGGTGCAGTGGGTCCCGAGAGGAGGGAGGGGCCGCACCAGCAGCCTCCCCCTCCGCTGCATCCAAAAGGGGCTTCAATAGTGGGGAGAGGGTGTGCTCAGGGGGGGCAGAAGTCCGTGAAATAGGGGTGCTGCAGGGCGTCCTCCGCCGAGATCCGGTGCACTGGGTTGCACTTCAGCAGGTTCTGCAGAGCCAGAAAGGGGGGAAACGTTGGGGTGTGTGCGCAAAACCAGTCTCATAGAAGGAGACCCCGCAGGGAAATTGGGGATCCCCATCCCAGCCTTGTTGGGGAACCCCTCCCCTGTCCAGGAGAACCCAAAAAGTGCACACTGCCCCCGGGTGGGGCACAGAATGGGGCGCTGACCTGAAGGAGGTCCCGTCCGGTGGTGTTCAGCTTGGGCACCACGTTGACCAGGGACGTTGTTGCTGGGTACATGGGGTACGGCTGGGGAGGAAGCAGGATCAGGATCATCATCATCATCATCATCGTATTGTCAAAGGGTTCCATGGCTGGAATCACTGGGTTGTTGTAGGTTTTTTGGGCTATATGCCCATGCTCTAGAAGCATTCTCTCCTGACATTTTGCCTGCATCTGTGGCAAGCATCCTCAGAGGTTGTGAGGTCTCTGAGGATGCTTGCCATAGATGCAGGCAAAACGTCAGGAGAGAATGCTTCTAGGGCATGGCCATATAGCCCGAAAAACCTACAACAAGCCAATCATCATCATATTGTGCACAAGTCCCCTGTACCTATTCTTTAGCAACTTTGTCTCCTCTGAGGTCTCTGAGGATGCTTGCCATAGATGAGGTCTCAGGGGATGCTTGCCATAGATGCAGGCGAAATGTCAGGAGAGAATGCCTCTAGGGCATGGCCATATAGCCCGAAAAACCTACAACAAGCCAATCATCATCATATTGTGCACAAGTCCCCTGTACCTATTCTTTAGCAACTTTGTCTCCTCTGAGAGGCTTGAAGCCAAACCACTAAATTTAAGCCCATCAAGGCACCCATGACATCATGCCGAACACACCTGGACTGCAAGGTCATGCCACAGTTTTTGTGATAATGTTTTATTTGCCTGTCTCTTACTCCCTCTGTCCTCAAACCTAATCTAATTTCTCGGGAAAACTCACCATCAGCCCAAGGACTTTCACTTTCCTCCATTGCCTGGGAACCAGTATCAGAATTTAAAGCATCCTCTACCTGAGCCTCATCTGCCTGCAATTATCTCCAATCTGACACAGACTCCTCATTTGAAACACATCCTCCCCCTCTTCCTCTGACAAATTCTCGGACGCTGGCTGTGCCAAAACAGCATCTTCCCATCATGCCTAAGAAGAGGGATATATGGCACCTCTCCCCCGATTTCTGTGACTCATACATTGGAAGGTGCTGACCTCATGATAGTGGGGGGGGGGGAAACAAGTATGGATCGTGTATGTTGTAATCCCAGGTGACAGCCGGATTGACAAGAAGCAATGGGAAAAGCTTACACAATATGAGGATTTAGAGATTGAACTGCACAAGCCAGTCAAGGGGTCTCAGTGGTGATGGGCACACTGGGTGCAGTGCCTCAAGATCTTGGCCTGCACTTAAAAACAATCAGGACTGACAAAATTACCAGATGGGAGGCCAAGAGGCAGGGGCTCCATGAGACTGGGAAGGAGAGCACGGCTGGAGAGGAGGCCACACCCAGGAGTCCAATAATAATAATAATAATAATAATAATAATAATAATAATAATAATAAATAAAAAATGTAATGTTCGTTTGTGGGATTAACAGAACTCAAAAACCACTGGATGAATTGACACCAAATTTGGACACAACACACCTAACAACCCAATGTATGTCCTTCACTCAAAAAAAATTGATTTTGTCATTTGGGAGTTGTAGTTGCTGGGATTTATAGTTCACCTACAATCAAAGAGCATTCTGAACCCCACCAACGATGGAATTGAACCAAACTTGGCACACAGTTCTCCCATGACCAACAGAAAATACTGGAAGGGTTTGGTGGAGTGTCCTTTGGTTTTGGAGTTGTAGTTCGCCTACATCCAGAGATCACTGTGGACTCAAACAATGATGGATCTGGACCAAACTCTACATGAATACTCAATATGCCCAAATGTGAACACTGGTGGAGTTTGGGGGAAAATAGAATCTTGACATTTGGGAGTTGTAGTTGCTGGGATGGGGGGGGGGGGGGGGTGGGGGGTGGGGGGGGGGGGGGGGGGGGGCTGGAGTTTGGGGAAAATAGAATCTTGACCTTTGGGAGTTGTAGTTGCTGAAATGTATAGTTCACCTACAATCACAGACCATTCTGAACCCCACCAATGATAGAATTGGGCCAAACCTCCCACACAGAACCCCCATGTGGGCCACAGCAACGTGTGGCAGGGGATGGCTAGTAATAATAATAATAATAATAGTGATTGGCACACTGGGTGCAGTGCCTAAAGACCTTGGCCTGCACTTAAAAATAATTGCCGCTGACAAAATTACCACCTGTTAGCTGCAAAGGGCCACCCCACTGGGATTTGCACACATTATTCACCAATACATCACACAGTCCCAGACACTTGGGAAGAGTCCGATGTGGGATCCAATACAAAAGCCAGATTAGGGATCTTGTTTGCTGTGGGCTCATCTTGTTGTGTATCAAATAATAATAACAATATCACATAAAAGTGATACGCAACCACTATCAACACAAATAAAATAAAATAAAAATAAAATAAATAATAAAATAAATCAATTAAAATAAAATAAAATAAAGTAAAAGGCACAATTTAAAAACACTTTCCATCCATGGTTAAAACTAGCTGCCCCCAATACACAACTCAAGTGCCAAAATGTCAATCTAATATAGGATGTGCCTGTGTGCGTGTTCCCTGGCTCCAGAACCCCCCTCTCCCCTTCCCCAAACAGAATGGTTCACCTTGTAATCGGGGAGTTTGGTCATTCCTGGCCACTGCTCCTCAGTCGGGGTCCCCAGCAGCGTGGCAGAGCGGTCAAGGAGCTTTGATGAGGAAGGGGGATGTGCTTTTGAAGCACAAGGAAGCCCCTCACCCACCTAATGCTTTTGCTGCACCCGGTCCACATGCACCCTCCCTGGCCTACCCTTATAATAACAATAATAATAAACTTTATTTGTATCCCGCCCCCATCTCCCTGAAGGACTCGGGGCGGCTTACAAAGACCCCCCAAGGTGCACAGAGAACATATAGCAAGTAAAAAATGATCCATAAGTGTAAACAGTCACATAAAATTATAACAACCACCCCTGAAACATATAGAACATCAAATCAAAATAATACATTTTAAAAAATCTATATATAAATAAAAATGTAATGTTCGATTGTGGGATTAACATAACTCAAAAACTACTGGACGAACTGACACGAAATGTGGACACTCCACCCCTAACAGACCAACGAGTGACCATCACTCATAAAACCACACCAAAGAACAGCGGAAAGGACTGAAAAACCCCAAAAAGCTACATGACAAAAAGCTACATGACAATACAGAAAAAAGGAAGGAAGGAAGGAAGGGGAGAGAGAAAGAAAGAAAGAAAGAAAGAAAGAAAGAAAGAAAGAAGAAGCAAACAGCGAAGGAAGGAAGGAAAGAGGTAGAGAAGGAAGGAAGGAAGAGTAGGAAAAGGGAAGGAGGGAAAGAGGTAGAGAAGGAAGGAAGGAAGGGGAGAGAGAAAGAAAGAAAGAAAGAAAGAAAGAAAGAAAGAAAGAAGAAGCAAACAGCGAAGGAAGGAAGGAAAGAGGTAGAGAAGGAAGGAAGGAAGAGTAGGAAAAGGGAAGGAGGGAAAGAGGTAGAGAAGGAAGGAAGGAAGGGGAGAGAGAAAGAAAGAAAGAAAGAAAGAAAGAAAGAAAGAAAGAAGAAGCAAACAGCGAAGGAAGGAAGGAAAGAGGTAGAGAAGGAAGGAAGGAAGGAAGAGTAGGAAAAGGGAAGGAGGGAAAGAGGTAGAGAAGGAAGGAAGGAAGGGGAGAGAGAAAGAAAGAAAGAAAGAAAGAAAGAAAGAAAGAAGAAGCAAACAGCGAAGGAAGGAAGGAAAGAGGTAGAGAAGGAAGGAAGGAAGGAAGAGTAGGAAAAGGGAAGGAGGGAAAGAGGTAGAGAAGGAAGGAAGGAAGGGGAGAGAGAAAGAAAGAAAGAAAGAAAGAAAGAAAGAAAGAAAGAAGAAGCAAACAGCGAAGGAAGGAAGGAAAGAGGTAGAGAAGGAAGGAAGGAAGGAAGAGTAGGAAAAGGGAAGGAGGGAAAGAGGTAGAGAAGGAAGGAAGGAAGGGGAGAGAGAAAGAAAGAAAGAAAGAAAGAAAAAAGAAAGAAAGAAAGAAAGAAGAAGCAAACAGCGAAGGAAGGAAGGAAAGAGGTAGAGAAGGAAGGAAGGAAGGAAGAGTAGGAAAAGGGAAGGAGGGAAAGAGGTAGAGAAGGAAGGAAGGAAGGGGAGAGAGAAAGAAAGAAAGAAAGAAAGAAAGAAAGAAAGAAGAAGCAAACAGCGAAGGAAGGAAGGAAAGAGGTAGAGAAGGAAGGAAGGAAGGAAGAGTAGGAAAAGGGAAGGAGGGAAAGAGGTAGAGAAGGAAGGAAGGAAGGGGAGAGAGAAAGAAAGAAAGAAAGAAAGAAAGAAAGAAGAAGCAAACAGCGAAGGAAGGAAGGAAAGAGGTAGAGAAGGAAGGAAGGAAGAGTAGGAAAAGGGAAGGAGGGAAAGAGGTAGAGAAGGAAGAGGAGAGATGGAAAGAAGGAAAGAGGGAGCGAAGGAAGGAGGGAAAGAAGGAGAGAAAGAGGGAGGGAAGGAAAGAAGGAAAGAGAGAAGGAAGGATGCAAGCAAAAAGTGAAGGAACAAAGGAAAGAGGTAGAGGAAGAAGAAAAAGAAAGAGAAGGAAAAAAGGGAAGGAGGGAAAGAGGTAGAGAAGGAAGGAACGAGAGAAGGAAAGAAAAATGAAGGAAAGAGAGAGTAAAAGAAGGAGAGAAAGAGGGAGGGAAGGAAAGAGAGAAGGAAGGATGGAAGCAAAAAGCGAAGGAAGGAAGGAAAGAGGTAGGGAAGGAATAAATGAGAGAAAAGAAGAAGTGGGGAAGGAAGGAAAGGTGGAGAAGGAAAGAAGGAGAGAAGGAAAGAAAAAAGGGAATGAAGAAAAGAGGGAGCGAAGGAAGGAGGGAAAGAAGGAGAGAATTAAGTAGATAGATAAGTATAAGGGAGAGAAAGAGGATGGACATTCCATACAAGACAAGATGTAGTAAGCATAAATCGCAAGGAAGAAGGAAGTAAAAGTAAAGAAAAAGAGGATGACACGAAGGAAAGGAAGGAAGCAAGGAAAGAAAGAGGAAGCGAAGGAAGGAGAGAAAGAGGGAGGGAAAGTTGGCCACAGCAATGCTAGTTTGTGGGATGAACATAACTCAAAAACCACTGGACGAATTGACACGAAAATTGGACGCAAGACACCTCTCAGGCCGACGAGTGACCATCCCTCCTGAGACCCCCCCTCCCCCTCCCCCCCTCCAGCCCAAAGGCAAGGATATCGGAAGATGCGCTTCAGCTGGTCATCCACATCGTTGCCTGGAAAGAGGGGCCGCCCTGCATTCGCCAGCTCTGCAAAGAGGTTAAATGGGGGGGGGGGGTCTCAGCACTCGGAGTCCAGAGTGGCACCCACCCCCACTGCCAGGGGTCAGGGTCATAGCATCGCTGGACCCTAGGGAAGAGAGAGCCCAGCCCCTTCCTCCCTTCTGCCAGGCAGGAAAGGCAACGGTTACCTGCGAAGATGCATCCAGCTGACCACATGTCTATGGAGGTGGAGTAGAGCTTGGCCCCAAAGAGGACGTCCGGCGGGCGGTACCAGAGGGTCACCACCTGGGTGGGGAGGGAGGGAGGGAGGAGAGGAGAGGAGGGAGGGCAGCAGGGGCAGGCCTGGCTGGAGAACCCCCTCCCCATGGGTGCCTGTGGGGCCACAGAGCCAGCTATGGAAAGCGGGCCCCACTCAGGTGCAGAGTGACCCCTCTGCGACCTAAAAGGCTCGGGCGCTAGTGATGCCCTTCCAGGAAAGGGTCAGGAGCGGTGTGAGAAACTGCAAGGCGCTTCTGGTGTGAGAGAATTGGCTGTCTGCAAGGACTTTGCCCAGATGCGTTACCATCCTATAAGAGGTTTCTTTCATGTCCCTGTATGAGAAGCTGGGGCTGACAGATGGGAGCTCACCCCACTCGCTAAATTCGAACTACCGACCTTGGTCAGCAGTCCTGCCAGCACAAGGGTTTAACCCATTGCGCCACTGGAGGATCCTTCAAGGGCACTTCATCTGCACATGCATGCCCACAGGACAGAAGGGGAAGCCCCTTCCCAGGACACACCCTGAGTCCTGCCCCTCCACCAAGACCACTCCCTCCCCTCGGTCCTCTCTCTTGGCCACTTCCTTGAGGTCTCCCTCAGCACAGCCTTCCCCCGAATGACCGGCTCCACTCACCTCGGCCGAGTAGCACCGGACGGGGATGCCAAAGGCTCTGGCCAGGCCAAAGTCCGCCAGCTTCAGCTCCCCATTCTGCAAACAAAGGTGGTTGTTGCCCTTCTGCTGAGACCCCCACAGCCCTGGTGGGATGCCCCCCCCCCCCCCCCCCCCATTTGGTGCTCAATCCCACTGCAGAGAGTCCACACTCTGCAGCCTGGGACTCACCCGATTGATGAGCAGGTTCTGGGGCTTGAGGTCCCGGTGCAGGACGTTGCGGCTGTGGCAGAAGGCCAGGCCCTTGAGCAGTTGGTACATGAAGGACTGCGAGGGGAAGGCGAGAGAGAGGGGGGCTGCTGTGCTCTGCTGTGGCCAAGAGACCCCCTCCCCACCCCATTTGTCTATTTGGGAGCTTAGCAGGGCCGGCCAGATGAGAGGCCAACAGGCTCCATGAGACTGGGAACGAGCACGGCTGGAGAGGAGGCCACACCCAGGGGTCCAATAATAATAATAATAATAATAATTTTTGTCGTGTCACGAGCGACTTGAGAAACTGCAAGTCGCTTCTGGTGTGAGAGAATTGGCCATCTGCAAGGACGTTGCCCAGGGGACACCTGGATGATTTTGATGTTTTTTATCCTCCTTGTGGGAGGTTTCTCTCATGTCCCCGTATGAGGAGCTGGAGCTGAGAGAGGGAGCTCATCAGCCTCTCCCCGGATTCGAACCTGCGACCTGTGTCTTCAGTCCTGCCAGCACAGGGGTTTAACACACTGTGCCACCGGGGGCTCAATAATAATAATAATAATAATAATAATAATAATAATAATAATAATAATAATAATAATAAATAGACTTCTGGCACAAGCCAGTCAAGGGGGTCCCAGTGGTGATCGGCACACTAGGTGCAGTGCCTCAAGACCTTGGCCTGCACTTAAAAGCAATTGGTGCTGACAAAATTACCACCTGCCAGCTGCAAAAGGCCACCTTACTGAGATACATCACACAGTCCTAGAGACTTGGGAAGTGTCCGACGTGTGATTCAGTACAACAGCTCGCAGAGTGACCTTGTTTGCTGTGGACTCATCTTGTTGTGTTTCCAATAATAATAGTAATAATAATAATAATAATAATAATAATAATAATATCCCCAGAACAGTATAATAATAATAATAATAATAATAATAATAATAATAATAATAATAATAATACTCTTGGGAAGTGTCCGACATGTGATCCAATACAACAGCCAACAGAGTGTCTGCTGTGGACTCATCTTGTTGTGTTTCCAATAATAATAAGAACAATAATAACTACAGGAAAAGCTGACACGATACAAGGATTTAAAGGTGGAACTGCAACGACTCTGGCACAAGCCAGTCAAGGGGGTTCCGGTGGTGATTGGCACACTGGGTGCAGTGCCTCAAGACCTTGGCCTGCACTTAAACACAATTGGTGCTGACAAAATCACCACCTTCCAGTTGCAAAAGGCCACCTTAGTGGTATCTGCACGCATCATTCGCCGATGCACCACACAGTCCTAGACACTTGGGAAGGGTCCGACGTGTGATCCAATACAACAGCCAGCAGAGTGTCTGCTGTGGACTCATCTTGTTGTGTTTCTAATAATAATAATAATAATAATAATAATAATAATAATCCAATACAACAGCCAGCAGAGTGTCTGCTGTGGACTCATCTTGTTGTGTTTCTAATAATAATAATAATAATAATAATAATAATAATAATAATAATAATAATACAACACAGCAGAGTGCTCTATACAAAGATTGTTGTTTCTAAATAATAATAACAATAATAATAATAACATAATAATAATAATAATAATAATAATAACGGGCAGGAATTTACCTGATGGCCAGGTGAAGAAGGAGAAGGTAGGAACACAGCTGCCAACCCATTCCTCCTCATTTCCTGGCGTGGCCTGGCTATGGTTTTTCTATTAGAAACTAGGAGATAATAATAATAATAATAATAATAATAATAATAATAATCCAATACAAAAGCCAGCAGAGTGTCTGCTGTGGACTCATCTTGTTGTGTTTCAAATAATAATTATTTATTTATATCCCCACCCCACCCCCTTTTTCTCTCCCACCGGAGGGACTCAGGGCGGATTCCAAACATAAAGGCAAACATTCAATGCTCGATCACAACAACAATACACCCATAGTAATGAAATTTGGCAACCCAACATCTTAAAAACAAACTACGATTTCTCAACGAAAAATTAAATTTAAAAAGAGCAACCTGTCATAGACAGAAGACCAAACATCAAACATTGAACGGAAGCATCAATTGCTGCCCCTCATCAGCCCAGGCCCCTCTGCCCAGACCCCCGCCAGCCCAGGAAGGCGATCAGAGGGCAACACCAAAGCCAATGAGGCATTCCCCAAACACACACACCTTGACAATTTCGGGGTCCAGGTCCCCATTGCAGCTGTCGAAGTATTTCTTCAGGTCCTGGAAGGAGGAAAAGGGGAGAGCGGAGAGGGCAAGGGAGGGGGTTGGGCAGCTCCAATGCCCCCTCCCCATTTGAGAGGGAAAAGGGGGACCACCCCCTAACGAGACCCTTCTTGCAACGGGCCCAGCACGCACCCTGTACCACTGGTCCAATGGTAGTGGTAGGTAGGCAGGTGAGTGGATGAGTGGCTGAAGGCCTTGCCCTGCCCCAAGGAGAGGGCACCACACCTCCTGCTCCTCTCCTGCCCCAGTGCATTCTAGAGGAAGGGCCATGTGGGGCCCTCACACACACACACACACACACACACACACCCCTCTTACCTGGTCGCAGAACTCAAAGACCAGTGTGAGCTTCTTGTCACTGTGGAGGACGTCATGCAGCCTGGGGGAGGAAGGGAGGGGTCAGCGTTGGAAGCTGTTAGATATAGATAGAGGATGGATACATTGAAAGATAGATAGATAGATAAGATAGATAGATAGATAGATAGATAGATAGATAGATAGATAGCTGATATAGATCGGTGGATAGATGGATTGATGGATGGATAGGGAGAGAGAGAGAGATGATAAAGTTATATGTATAGGATGGATAGATGATATATGGATAGGCAGGTGAATAGAGAGAGAGATAGATAGATAGATAGATAGATAATAGAAAGATAGATAGCAGATATAGGTGTGCATATAGATGGATAGATGAATGGATGGATAGGTGGAAAGAGAGAGAGAGATGATATAGGTATAGGATGGATGGATAGATGGATGGATGGATAGATGATATATGGGTAGGCAGGTAAATGGATAGATGGATAGATAGATAGATAGATAGATAGATAGATAGATAGCTAGCTATTAGGTATAGATCTGATAGAGGATGGATAAATTGATACCTAGCTAGCTAGATACCTGATATAGGTCAATGGATGGATGGATGGATGGATAGGTAGAAAGAGAGAGAGAGAGAGAGAGAGATATGATATAGGACAGATAGATGATATAGGGGTAGGCAGGTGAATAGATAGATAGCTATTAGGTATAGATAGAAGATGGATAAATTGATAGATAGCTAGATAAGATAGATAATAGAAAGATAGATAGTAGATATAGGTGTGTGGATTGATGGATAGATGAATGGATGGATAGGTGGAAAGAGATAGATGATATTGGTATAGGATGAATGGATAGATGATATATGAGTAGGCAGGTGAATGGACAGATAGATAGATTGATATTAGGTATAGATCGAGGATGGATGAATTGATAGATAGCTAACTAGCTAGCTAGGTGATATAGGTCAGTGGATAGATGGATGGATGGATAGATAGATTGGTAGGTAGGTAGAGAAAGAGAGAGAGAGGTGGTATAGGTATAGGATGAATGGATAGATGATATATGGGTAGGCAGGTGAATGGATAGATAGATAGATAGATAGATAGATAGATAGATAGATAGATAGATAGTTATTAGGTATAGATAGAGGATGGATAAATTGATAGATAGTTAGATACGATAGATGATTGATAGATAGATAGATAGCTGATTTAGGTCAGTGGATAGATGGATGGATAGGTGGAGAGAGAGAGAGATGATACAGGTATAGGTATAGGATGGATAGATGATAGATGGATAGACAGGTGAATATATAGATAGATAGGTAGATAGATAGATAGATAGATAGATAGATAGATAGATAGATAGATAGATAGATAGATAGCTATTAGGTATAGATAGAGGATGGATAAATTGATAGATAGCTAGATAAGATCGATAATAGAAAGATAGATGGATAGATAGCTGATATAGATTGGTGGATAGATGGATTGATGGATGGATAGGTAGAGAGAGAGAGATACGTATAGGTATAGGATGGATGGATAGATGATATATGGGTAGGCAGGTGAATAGATAGACAGACATACAGACAGATAGCTAGATAGAGGATGGATAAATTGATAGATGGATAGAGAGATGATTATAGGTCTGTGGGTAGATGGATGGATGGATGGATAGGGAGAGAGAGAGAGAGAGGGAGGGGGGTACAGGTACAGGATGGATTCTGCCAACCTAGCAGTTCAAAAACATGCAAATGTGAGTAGATGAATAGGCGGGAAGGTAAGGGCGCTCCATGCAGTCATATGACCTTGGAGGTGTCTATGGACAACGCTGGCTCTTCGGCTTAGAAATGGAGATGAGCACCAGAGTCCCAGAGTCATACACAACTAGACTTAACATCAAGGGGAAACCTTTCCCTTTACCTGTAGGATGGATGGATGTATAGATGATGTATGGATAGGCAGATAGGTGGGTGGATAGATGATAGATTGATAGGGCCTGAGGCTGCGAGGAATGCTGGGAGTTGGGAGGCCAAAACCCCTGAAGATGTGCCTGTAGCTTAGTAGCTGTCAGTCTGAGGTAAACCTCAGTGGCAGAAAGGTCTCAGTCTGTGAGGAGGATCCAGTCAGGGATCCAGTCAGAACCGGCACGTGGATCGACCATACAGGTGTGCCTGTAGCTCTCAGTCTGAGGTAAATCTGAGTGGGAGAAAGGTCTCAGTCTGTGAGGAGGCCTCACAGTGTGAGGTAGGCCTTATGGGGTTGGACTGGATGGCCCTCCGGGTCTCTTCCAACTCTAGGATTCTATACAAAGCTGCAGTACTGTAGCTTAGTAGCTGTCGGTCTGAGGTAAACCTCAGTGAGAGAAAGGACTCAGTCTGTGAGGAGGCCTCACAGTGTGAGGTAGGCCTTATGGGGGTTGGACTGGATGGCCCTCCAGATCTCTTCCAACTCTAGGATTCTATACAAAGCTGCAGTACTGTAGCTTAGTAGCTGTCGGTCTGAGGTAAACCTCAGTGAGAGAAAGGACTCAGTCTGTGAGGAGGCCTCACAGTGTGAGGTAGGCCTTATGGGGGTTGGACTGGATGGCCCTCCAGATCTCTTCCAATTCTTCTAGGATTCTGTGAAAAGCTGCAGTTCTATATAAGCAGGTGTGCCTGTAGCTTAGTAGCTGCCAGTCTGAGGTAAACCTCAGTGGGAGAAAGGTCTCAGTCTGTGAGGAGGCCTCACAGTGTGAGGAAGGCATTATGGGGTTGAGGGGGAAAAGGAAAGGGCGTGAAGCTGCGAGGAATGCTGGGAGTTGGAGTCCCAAACCCCTGAAGGTGTGCCTGTAGCTTAGTAGGTGCCAGTCTGAGGTAAACCTCAGTGGGAGAAAGGTCTCAGTCTGTGAGGAGGCCTCTCAGTGTGAGGAAGGCATTATGGGGTTGAGGGGGGAAAGGAAAGGGCGTGAAGCTGCGAGGAATGCTGGGAGTTGGAGTCCCAAACCCCTGAAGGTGTGCCTGTAGCTTAGTAGCTGCCAGTCTGAGGTAAACCTCAGTGGGAGAAAGGTCTCAGTCTGTGAGGAGGCCTCTCAGTGTGAGGAAGGCATTATGGGGTTGAGGGGGAAAAGGAAAGGGCGTGAAGCTGCGAGGAATGCTGGGAGTTGGAGTCCCAAACCCCTGAAGGTGTGCCTGTAGCTTAGTAGCTGCCAGTCTGAGGTAAACCTCAGTGGGAGAAAGGTCTCAGTCTGTGAGGAGGCCTCTCAGTGTGAGGAAGGCATTATGGGGTTGAGGGGGAAAAGGAAAGGGCGTGAAGCTGCGAGGAATGCTGGGAGTTGGAGTCCCAAACCCCTGAAGGTGTGCCTGTAGCTTAGTAGCTGCCAGTCTGAGGTAAACCTCAGTGGGAGAAAGGTCTCAGTCTGTGAGGAGGCCTCACAGTGTGAGGAAGGCATTATGGGGTTGAGGGGGGAAAGGAAAGGGCGTGAAGCTGCGAGGAATGCTGGGAGTTGGAGTCCCAAACCCCTGAAGGTGTGCCTGTAGCTTAGTAGCTGCCAGTCTGAGGTAAACCTCAGTGGGAGAAAGGTCTCAGTCTGTGAGGAGGCCTCTCAGTGTGAGGAAGGCATTATGGGGTTGAGGGGGAAAAGGAAAGGGCGTGAAGCTGCGAGGAATGCTGGGAGTTGGAGTCCCAAACCCCTGAAGGTGTGCCTGTAGCTTAGTAGGTGCCAGTCTGAGGTAAACCTCAGTGGGAGAAAGGTCTCAGCCTGTGAGGAGGCCTCACAGTGTGAGGAAGGCATTATGGGGTTGAGGGGGGAAAGGAAAGGGCGTGAAGCTGCGAGGAATGCTGGGAGTTGGAGTCCCAAACCCCTGAAGGTGTGCCTGTAGCTTAGTAGCTGCCAGTCTGAGGTAAACCTCAGTGGGAGAAAGGTCTCAGTCTGTGAGGAGGCCTCTCAGTGTGAGGAAGGCATTATGGGGTTGAGGGGGAAAAGGAAAGGGCGTGAAGCTGCGAGGAATGCTGGGAGTTGGAGTCCCAAACCCCTGAAGGTGTGCCTGTAGCTTAGTAGGTGCCAGTCTGAGGTAAACCTCAGTGGGAGAAAGGTCTCAGCCTGTGAGGAGGCCTCACAGTGTGAGGAAGGCATTATGGGGTTGAGGGGGGAAAGGAAAGGGCGTGAAGCTGCGAGGAATGCTGGGAGTTGGAGTCCCAAACCCCTGAAGGTGTGCCTGTAGCTTAGTAGCTGCCAGTCTGAGGTAAACCTCAGTGGGAGAAAGGTCTCAGTCTGTGAGGAGGCCTCTCAGTGTGAGGAAGGCATTATGGGGTTGAGGGGGGAAAGGAAAGGGCGTGAAGCTGCGAGGAATGCTGGGAGTTGGAGTCCCAAACCCCTGAAGGTGTGCCTGTAGCTTAGTAGGTGCCAGTCTGAGGTAAACCTCAGTGGGAGAAAGGTCTCAGCCTGTGAGGAGGCCTCACAGTGTGAGGAAGGCATTATGGGGTTGAGGGGGGAAAGGAAAGGGCGTGAAGCTGCGAGGAATGCTGGGAGTTGGAGTCCCAAACCCCTGAAGGTGTGCCTGTAGCTTAGTAGCTGCCAGTCTGAGGTAAACCTCAGTGGGAGAAAGGTCTCAGTCTGTGAGGAGGCCTCTCAGTGTGAGGAAGGCATTATGGGGTTGAGGGGGAAAAGGAAAGGGCGTGAAGCTGCGAGGAATGCTGGGAGTTGGAGTCCCAAACCCCTGAAGGTGTGCCTGTAGCTTAGTAGGTGCCAGTCTGAGGTAAACCTCAGTGGGAGAAAGGTCTCAGCCTGTGAGGAGGCCTCACAGTGTGAGGAAGGCATTATGGGGTTGAGGGGGGAAAGGAAAGGGCGTGAAGCTGCGAGGAATGCTGGGA